AGAGATGGTGGTGATCACTCTGAGAGAGATGGTGGTGATCACCCTGAGGGATGGTGGTGATCACCCTGAGAGATGGTGGCGATCACCCTGAGAGATCACCCTGGGAGATGGTGGTGATCACTTTGAGAGAGATGGTGGTGATCAGTTTGAGAGAGATGGTGGTGATCACTTTGAGAGATCACCATGAGAGCTTATGGTGATCACCCTGAGAGATGGTGGTGATCACCCTGAGAGATTTTGGTGATCACCCTGAGAGATGGTGGTGATCACCTTGAGAGATCACCATGAGAGATGGTGGTGATCACCCCGAGAGATCCCCCTGAGAGATCCCCCTGAGAGATCCCCCTGAGAGATGGTGCTGATCACACTGAGAGATCCCCCTGAGAGATCACCAAGGAACAATTAAAATCTCCCTCACAAGCTCATGAGAAGCCTGCCCGGCCTCATATTTATTCATTTGCTTGTTTTGTTGATTTTTATTATTGGTATATTTTATGTATTTTACTCCATCCAAGGTTTTTTGGGTACAAAATATAGTCAATCATAAATAAATGCTCAAGAAATGTTTGTTAAAGGAATAAAGTGATGTAATGAGTTCCTCACCTCAGCCTGCCTTACCCAATCGTCACCAGCAATTAGCATCGGAGTTGTCGTTGTTGGCCACCATCCGGTCAGCCCCAACCCATGGTGACCCCATGGACAAGGAAACAAAATGCTGCCCAGTCCTGTGCCACCCCCATGATCATTGTGGATCAGACCGTTGTGATCCATAGGGTTTTCATTGGAAGATTTCAGAAGTAGATCACCAGGCCTTTCTCCCTAGTCCCTCTTAGACTGGAAGCTCCACTGAAGCCCGTTCAGCATCACAGCAACATGCAAGCCTCCACTGACAGACGGGTGGTGGCCGCTCACAAGGCGCGTTGGCCAGGAATTGAACCTGGGTGTCCCGCGTGGGAGGAGGGTATCGTACCACTGAACCACCATTGCCCTCACAAAGGAGTACCAGCTCCAGATTTCTAGGGAACACAGGTTTTATCTTTTAAGTAGATTCTATGGCAGTTTATAAATAAAGCATCTTTAAAAGTCAGTAACGTGTTGAGCAAAACCCACTCCTTGTTATGATGTTGTCTGGACTGTGGAGGGAAAATGCAGCTGCCGTCCTGGCATTTGGGAGAATGTTGAGATGTAGCTCAGCAGTTTGGGCTAATCCAATGCGTGTTCCCTGAAATTGCTTAGTCACTGAGCAGAAGTCAGAGGCTTGTGGCAGTGGGTTGAACACTTGTCTTTGCACTCTTACAGATCACGGTCTACAGGAAAACATGCAGTGGGAGTGGAAGGGAAGTGGTGGAGCTGACCCCCAGCACACACCCTGGGGAGAGAGTATGTTTAAGTCCATCCTTGCCCTTTATCCCAATAAAAGGCAAGCTGCTGTCAGACACCCCTGCCATAACGGAACGGAACGTACCGATCTGGAACAGCTAGAATTTTGTTTGTAATGAAAAAGAGTTTGTTTTCCGATTCGCAGAAGGTCTCAGTTACGCATCCAAGCGGTTATTTATTATTGTCGATCACAGAGTGACTTTGTGGAGCATGTTTTGGTCTAACTGAAAAGGACATTTAAATTCAGAATAGACTTTTGTGAATCACAGCCCTTGTTTTTCTCCTCTCTTCGGAGGCCGTGGCTGCTCTGCAGGATTTTGCACTCGGACGTTTCACTATGAATGTGCTTACTGATGTCACGTGTTGGTTCATGTGCAAGTGTGGTCCTGCTAAGCCTACGTTTTCATTCCTCTGCCTGTCTGTTGCCATTTGATACCACATTTAGGTCCGTTTGCCTTCAGGAGGGGCACTGGTGGCTCGGGGGTAGAATTCTTGCCTTCTGTGCAGGAGACCCGGGTTCAGTTCCTGGCCAATGTGCCTCATGCACAGCCACCACCCATTTGTCCGTGGAGGCTTGCACGTTGCTATGATGCTGAACAGGTTTCAGCAGAGCTTCCAGATTAAGAAAAGAAAGAAAGACCTAGCGATCTAGTTCTGAAAATCAGCCAGTGCAAGCCCTGTGGACCACGACAGTCGGATGCCCAGCCAACCATGGGGTGGTGCATGACAGGTGGTGTTCCGTTTTGTTGTACATCAGGCCGCCGTGAGTCAGGGGCTGACTTGACCACAGCTAACCACAACAGCACGTTTGGAAGAGCGGTGCTGGCCGATCACTAAGAGGCTGGGTCGTAATTTGATGGCAGATAATGGCCTTTCCCGCAGCACAGAATTAACTAATTCGGCATCTGCTGAGATCCAGGAGGAGTGCTGACAGATCACCCCCATTTGTACAAAGTGAGGGTGGGGTGTTGGACCCTGGCAGGGCATCTGGGCTTTTGTGACGACATCTTGGCACAGTTCTGGTTATGAAGGTTCCAGATCTTGGGCACAGTCAACTTCGAGGCCTGATTTTAGTCTTTGGGGATGAACCTCTACTGGTGTTTGTATCTTAAAGAGCTTATTCTCTTCCAAGACATCTCGTGGGAGAGCAAGTTTCCCCGTCTGTTCTCTGACAGATGTGAGAGTAGCTAAACGAAGCCACGAGGTAGAAGAAGACAGGAAGACAGTGAGATGTTATGAAACAAACCCCAAAATAGGACTTTTTCTCATACACTCTGCTTAGCAGTCTCCTAGAAAATAAAAATGCTTTGATATTATTTTTGAAAAGAAAATTGTAACCTCATCACTCTGCTGATGCCCTAGGTTTCTTACAAACGCACCGTTTAGAATGAAAAATGCTCCGGGTGTCAGCCGTATTCCTAAATCTGTGTATTTATTAGTTATTAAAGTACTCCAGCCAATTCTCCTAACCTAAAAAAATCCATTGCTGTTGAGTCAATACTGACTCATGGCGACCCCATGAGTTACAGCAGAACTACTCCATAGGGTTTTCTTGGCTGTAATCTCTAGGGTCGCTATGAGTCGGAATCGACTCGATGGCAGTGGGTTTGGTTTTTTGGTTTAATCTTTACAGAAACAGATTGCCAGGCCTTTCTCCCGCCACACTGCTGGGTGGGCGTGAACAGCCACCCTTTAGGTTAGTAGTTAGATACTCTTCGGTTTTCTTTATATTTTTCCCCGAATTTTTCTGTGAATGGGAATTATTTTTATTACCAGGGTAAGAGAGCAATGAATTGTATACACCTACTCCTCATTTGGAAACCCTGGTGGCGCAGTGGTTAAGAGCTACGGCTGCTAACCAAAAGGTCAGCAGTTCGAATCCACCAGCCGTTCCTTGGAAACCCTGTGGGGCAGTTCTACTCTGTCCTATAGGGTTGCTATGAGTTGGAATCGACTCAATGACAACGGGTTTGTTTTTTGGTTTCTTACTCCTCACTCATCGACTGTCTAGTTACCCGACATTTCACATTTACCACAATAGTAATAAAATCTACCATCCGACTGTTTGGGGCATTAACGACCCCACCAGCCTGCACACCCTCGCCACACACAGAGCTCCTCCAGGGCGCAGGTGGAGGGAGGAGCGGTGTAATTAATCCCAGTCTGGAGCTCTCAGGGTGCCTGACAATCTGGTTCCTCCTGGCTGGCACCTCCCCTCGCTTCTCCTGGCTCTCTCCTGGTGCACCCCACCCTCTACCCCATGCTGGCCTCAAGGGCAGGCACCCGCCGCAGGCACCAGGAGTGGGACGTGGGTGGTGGGTGGTGCTCCCCTCTGCAGAGATACCCCTGGCTGAGGCCACTGTGTACCGCCCAGCCAGCCCACCCTGCTTCCCGCACCGAGTGCACCTCAGAGCCTGAGCTGGGACACCAGGCAGCTGAGAACACCTGGCCAACAGCCCCAGCACAGATTCACATTCTGGGGAGCAGAGCGAGGGCGAGCCGGTGACCACCCCGGATACAGAGGAGCTGTGGCCACCCAGCTCGGGGGGCTGAGGCCGGGGAGGAGGGGAGGCCAGGGCAGGAAATGGCGAGTATTTCACATAACGCCAGTTTTTACATAAGGGCCTGGTCTTTGGAACCCAACCATGGGATAAGTGAGGAGTGGGTGTATTCTGAAAGGCCACCGTTTTCCTAGATGAACAGATTGTAACGAGAGGGATCACTTACCAGGCTCAGTGAAGGCAGCTTTGGTGACAAAGCTCTCTGAGTCCGTCACCCAGCAGTGCAGCGAAGCCGCCTAACAACCACGCACCCTGAGTGGCGTGCAGCGGGCGGCTGTGGGCTGGCTGGGCGGCTCTGCTCCACGTGTCTCTCGTCTTCCTGGGACGTGTTCTTCCCTGGCCACGACAGCTGCGCAGGGGAGTGGCCGCAGCACGCCAGGGCTCCCACCCACAGCGCGTTAGCCGTGGCAGGTCACAGGCTGAGCCCAGCGTCAGGAGGGATTCAGATTCACCTGTCTGAGGGTGTGGGTCCAACAAGGGAGTTCATTGTTGTTATTAGTTGCCCTCCATCACCTCTGACTCGTGGTGACCCTGGGTACAACAGAATGAAATGTTGCCTTGTCCTGCGCCATCTTCACAAACGCTGGTATACACAAGTCCCTTGTTGTGACCATTGTGTATTTTGAGCGCCTTCCAACCTAGAGGGCTCTTCGTCCAGCATTGTATCAGACAACGTTCTGTTGGCATCCATAGGGTTTCAACAGGCTAATTTTCAGAGGTAGATCACCAGGCCTTTCTTCCTAGTCTGTCTTAGTCTGGAAGCTCCACAGAAACCTGTCCACCATGGATGACCCTGCTGGTATTTGAAATACCGGTGACATAACTTCCAGCAACACACAAGCCACCACAGTTTGACAGACTGACAGACGGGTGGTGGAAGAAGGGAGTAGAATCTCTAAGAAGGTAGCTGCTTTCTGTTAAGTAGATAAAAATGTTAGCATGGTAACAAATAAAATGAAGTCCCTGCAGTGCCCTGTCTTAGAAGACCCCTGCGAATGGGCGCTTTGCTGCGGTTGTAGAAGCACTCACCCTTCCGCCTGGTTCTCTCTGTCCCCACAGATACTGGCCAACGTGGTCATTTTCATCTGCGGGAACCTGGCGGGCGCCTACCATAAGCACCTCATGGAGCTGGCCTTGCAGCAGACGTATCAGGACACTTGTCATTGCATCAAGTCCCGCATCAAGTTGGAATTTGAAAAACGTCAGCAGGTAACGTGCACGTTCAATCCCTTTTCCACTCGATCCAGGGCGTTATTAGAAACGGCATCGTGACTATTGATGTCGTTGGCAGCTCATTCATGCCTGGGCGTCAGAAGGAAAGTGGGGGCGTGGACTTCCCATGCCGAGCGGAGCTCTGTACTTGGGGAGTGGTGGTGGGGGTCACAAATAAAAGCAGGATGGCCTCCGCCCCCTGGATCCTTCAGACCGGGAGCCCGGGACCCCCACGCAGATGTCACATCCACCAACTTGTGGCTGGGGGTTTCCAGTAACAGCACTTCAGGGAATGCTCAGTTTCAGTGAAAGCACGTTTATTTCCCCGGGGTAGTGTTGGTGAAAGAGCTTGTCCCTGCTGAGACGGAAGCCCCGCTCCTCTGTGCCCTCTCGGCCCTCCGTACAGTCCCGCTTCCCTCAGTCATCTAGTGCTGCCAGCAGTCACCACAGGTGAGACAGATTGTCTTAGTCCTCTAGTGCTGCTATAGCAGAAATACCACAGGTGAATGGCTTTAACAAAGAGAAACTTATTCTCTCACAGTCTAGGAGGCTAGAAGTCCAAGTTCAGGGTGCCTTCTCCCGTGGAAGGCTTTCTCTGTCAGTTCTGGGGGAAGGTCCTTGTCTTCAGTCTTCCGCTGGTCTAGGAGCTTCTCCATGTAGGAACCCTGGGTCCAACGGACGTGCTCTGCTCCCGGCACTGCTTTCTTGGTGGTATAAGGTCGCCGATTCTCTGCTCACTTCTCGTTCCTTTTATCTCTTGTAAGATAAAAGGTGGTGCAGGCCACATCCTGGGGAAACTCTCTTTACATTGGATCAGGGATGCAACCTGAGTAAGGGTGTTACTTCCCACCCTAATCCTCTTTAACAACCCAGTCTTGCCTCATTAACCACAGGCAGATTGGCATTTACAACACGTAGGAGAATTACAACAATCTTGAAATGGTGGACAACCACACAAGATGGGGAATCGTGGCCTAGCCAAGTTGACACATATTCTGGGGGGGACACAGTTCCCGAAGGAGAAGGTGAGCAAAATCATTCCTGAGCGGGCTGACGGGAGTCAGGGAGACGGATCTAGAAGGACCTTGTCATGGTGGCAGGGGTGCCCTAGGGTGAGGCAGAAAAACGCACGTCACAGAAATGTGTAGATTGTGATGAAACGTCAGAAAAAAACAAGACGTGAAGACAAGTAGGCGGCGTGGGGAGACAAAGCCATGTGGTGTCGTCAGGGGTGAGGCTAGCAGGGCAAACAGGCTTTGAAGGGAAATCCACCCGTGAAGGGGTCCCGTATTGGGCCTGCTTAACTTCTGGGGATGGCAGGATATCCACTGAAATGATTTTCTTTTCCGTGAGTAGGTTTTATCTGTCACCAGGAGCCCAGTCTGTTCTCTGTGAACACGGTACCCCACTTCTGAGCCTGCGTATTGTAATTCCTGTGCCGTTACCACATTTGGCACCTAGAGTGTTGTTGAGTGTTTGGGGTTGTACTGTCAGTTGTTAAATTGTATTGTATTAGTTAGTGTGTCCCGTAATATTTCATCAAAATGTATTACGATGGTAGAAGCAAAGCTATACCCTTTTAATTTTGTTTTTGTATGGAATAATGAATAGTATCAAGTTCATTTTTGAAAATAGGTGTACTTGTTCATTGAGTCAACAAATACTTCTTGCGCCCCTAGTTCAGGCGTGATTCTAGACACTGGGGTATGGCTGTAAATATTGCTTTCTTACTGGCGTGATTAGCAGATCTAGTGGCTTGTCTTTTAAAAATGCATTTTGTGCTACGACAGAGGTTTTCAGTAACTGATGTTTAATTCTTTGGTCTGTGGTGGTGGTGTTGTTGTTAGGTGCTGTCGAGGCTGTTCTGACTCGTAGCGACCCTGCGTGCAACAGAATGAAACACTGCCCGGTCCTGCGCCGTCCTCACAATGATTATTATACTTGAGCCCATTGTTGCAGCCCCTGTGTCAATCCATCTCGTTGAGGGTCTTCCTCTTTTTCGCTGACCCTCTACTCTACGAAGCATGATGTCCTTCTCCAGGGACTGGTCTCTCCTGACATGTCCAAAGTATGCAAGACATAGTCTCGCCATCCTCACTTCTAGGGAGCATTCTGGTTGCATTTCTTCCAAGACAGATTTGTTCGTTCTTTTGGCAGTCCGTGGTATATTCAGTATTCTATCAAACAATGTTCTGCTGCTATTTGTAAGGTTTTCACTGGCTAATTCTTTTCTCAAGTAGACTTCTGGGTCCTTCTTCCTAGTCTGTCTTAGTCTAGAAGCTCAGCTGAGACCTGTCCACCATGGGTGACCCTGCTGGTATTTGAATACTGGTAGCATAGCTTCCAGCATCACAGCAACACACAAGCCCCCACAGCAGGACAAACTGACAGGCATGTGGGGGATCAAACTCTAGATTCAATATTAAAGGACAAAAGCATTTGTTCCGTTGGGTCTGTTATCCAGTATGTTTTCATATGCTTCATGTCCAGTTATGTTTTAAATGTGAGTTCTAGAAAATTCTGTAGTTTCAACAAACAGAACTTGTAGCTCATGGCCGGACCGCCTACTGCGAGCTATGTAGAGTTCAGCTGTTGTGAGACAGATGCTTTCCTTTTCTCAAGCAGTAGAGCCTACATCAGCTTGGTCCTGACAGTCGTTTAATTCCCTTCTCCGTCACCCCCAGAATCCACTTCCAAATGGCAGCAAGGCTAGGCGAACTGCAGTTCCAAGAAGACAGGTTACATAACCTCGTATTTATAGTAACAACTTTGGCGAAAGTCATAAGTCCTGCTACTGACGTCATCTGCACCTCATTTTTCTCTGAAGAGACCTTGAACAGCCAAAAACATCTTTGTCAGTGTGCGCCGTGGGCACTCATGCCACGCTTCGTCCCTGCGTAGCTCCTGAACCAGACAGCGTGGTGCCCAACGTGCAGGGATTTTATGGGAGCATCATGAGAGATATGACACAGGTGTGTACTTACCATTAAAAAAAAGGAACGAGTGATCTTCCATAAGCCAAGACAAAGGGGAAATAAGAACGTGTATTGCGGTTGTTAGTTACTGTGACGTCAGCTCCACCTCATGGCGACCTGATGTACAGGAGAACAAAACCGTGTCCCTCCTGCACCATCTTCACGATCACTGGTATGTTGGAGCCCCTTCTTGGGGCTGTGTGTCAGTCCACCTCACTGAAGTGTTTCGCTGGCTTTCACAGACCTTTCCAGGAAGCAGTTGCTCTGCCTGATGCCATGTCCAAAGTAAGCGAGCCAAAGTCTTGCCGTCTGTGCTTCTGAGGAGCATTCTGGCATAGTAAAGATCTGTAATAAAATGTAATATGGCATCTCCACTGTAATTTGCCACAGAAAGTTGGGGAGCCAACTTCCAAGTCTAGTGACAAAATATACTACTTTTCTTATTTGGAAAGTATGTTCCTAGAATCAGAAATTTTTCTTTTTTTTCAGACCAGTATGTAATTAAATGGGTTGAAAAAATCAAGGCGATGTAGCCTGATGGATTTAGAGAGACCTATGAAAACTGGCCAGTGGTCATACACATGTGGTTTTCAGAGAGGGGGACAGTCTCCAAAACATGGCGCTGGGCAGGATCGCGGGCCAGATTCAGCTTCTCAGGGTTCAGGCCTCCCACATGTCCCTTCCTGCCCACTGCTCCCTACACGCTGCCTTTTCTTCATCCACAGTCACCATCGGAAAGAGTCATGTCCTTTAATGTGCTTTATTCAGGGGCAGGGAACACACGGGAGCAGCTACAATGCGCTTGGTTTCAGCCATTGTTAAGATGAAAGAAATACCGTCCTGTTTAATGTTACATCTCAGCACTGCCTCAGAGCAAAGTGACTCTCGGAACGGTTGGGAGCCCGCCATCTTGAATGGATATTGTTGTTGGTTACCGTTTGGCTCACGGTGTCCCCATGGGTGCAGGGTGGAGCTGCTCCACGGGGTTTTTAAGGCTGTGACCTTTCGGAAGAAGATCGCCACGTCTGTCTTCTGAGGGGCCTCTGGGTGGGTTCAAACCGTCACCCTTTCAGCTAGTAGCCCAGCACTGAACTGCGTGCCCCACCCAGGGCTACCCTTGAGTGGTTGTTCGGTACTCACTCAGTAGTTTCCCCCTCTGCTGCCCTTAATCCTCAGGGGAGGGCAAGTGACCAGCGACCCCAGGAGGCGGCCCCTCCAGAGCTCAGGATATGTTATCGGGGGTTATCTAGGGGTGCTGAGAGCTTCTCAGCATTGCTCAGCTCTGTGCTTCCTCTGTTTCCAATCTCGTAATGTTTTCCTCTATGTAAATGACATGAATTTCTAGAAAAAAGAAAAAAAGTTTGAATGAAGTGGCTATTTGTACCCTGAGATTTTGGGAGAGGAGAGAATGAAAAATGTTGGCAGAGAGATTCTGAGCTGTGTTCTTGCCCTCCAAGTGCCCTCATGTGTAAACTACCAAGTGTGAGTTTTTGCCGGGTAGGAAAAATAACGCGCCGTACTGGGGCTGAAGCTGCCTTTGGGGAGGGGTGGGTTCTCCATGAGCTGTGACTTCTGTCCTGAGTTTACATCCTGCAGTAAAAACCGTCTCTAGAGCGCTCTGGCTGTGCACAGAAGCTTCCTTGTCAGACCTGGAATATGTAACAGACTCTGAGGAGTGGGTAGGGGCCAGACTCACAGCAAAACGAGCGCCGTCCTTCCTCCTGCCTCAGCGGTTGAAATAAATGTTGCTTCTGAGAGAGGACAAACCTGTCATTTTTTATGTAAAGAAAATAAACCTTCCTTAACTTGTGTGTACCGCCCGTCTGTTGGAATGTTGTACTGGGCTGGCGTGTGTATTGTTGTGATGCTGGAAGCTATGCCACCAGTATTCAAATGCCAGCAGGGTCGCCCATGGTGGACAGGTTTCAGCAGAGTTTCCAGACTAAGGCAGACTAGGAAGAAAGGCCCGGTGATCTACTTTTGAAAATCAGCCAGTGAAATCTCTATGGATCACAACAGAAC